TCCAAAATACTGTATCAGTTTCACACTTAAATATCCCTGTTACAGATTTTATGTTAAGATGAAAAAGACAAGAATCAGTTACTGCATTTAAGAAAAGGTGCTTTACTGGAGAGAAATCCTGTTTATTCAAGTTCACCAGTGACTTGGTTTGTTAGATTGGAATTCGAGGACTAAAGACAAACTATGATGCATTTAAGAATCAAGAGGCATTTTCCTTTCCCTTTTAGCTGAAGATGAAGCTGAATGTCTCCCATTTAAATCCTTGTTCGAATGGCTTTGCTCTAAAAAGTGATTTCTCCTCTTCTGACACTGAATATTTACATATAGTTGCATGGTTTCCATGCGTGGTGAATGAAATTCACCCGTGATTGTCTTAAAAATAGCGTGCCCTCTGCAAAATTTTTAATTACACTAAATGTAGCATCACTTTAAGGGTAATTCCTCACAACGGAACTTATTAAACATTGCAGAAATATATAAAGAAACGAAGAAATGTTTTTCCACCATCGTCCCTCCCAGCACATGAACATGACTGGCAAGCAGATGACATTTGAAATTTCCATTGTGGAGAATTGGGGAGCACTGGGCTCACCTGAGAAGCGCATATAGCCAATATCCCATCATTTCAAGAAGGAATTAAGAGTCACAACCAAGAAGCCAACAGAAAACAAACTACCTCAAAGATTCTTCACTGAAATAGGGACATAAAGGAAGACTAATGCACTTGAATTCATATGTATGGTAGACTCTCTGTCATTTTAGTGGGTTACATACTGGAAAGGGGTTGGCTCACTAGATTTCTCCCAGCTACAAGGTCATGGGTTCGAATCCCATCATCACTCTGTGACTTGTGCAGTCTTCCTCTGCTGTTCTTAGACATAAATTTGCTTATTGTGTGTATATTTGCCCTGTGATAGACTGGCATCCCATCCAGGATGTGCCCAAGCCTTGTGCTCTATGTCGCCAGTGATATGATCCAGGCCCCCTTGTGACCCTGACCAGTATGCAGCGATTAGAAGACGTTTGGCTCCCTGTAGACCAGGGGTGTCAAACCCCAGTCCTGGTGGGCCGGAGCCCTGTGTAGCTTAGTTCTTTCCCTGTTCCACCACAAATGATTCAGCTCAAGAGCTGCGTGGTAATTAGCACACGGAGTTAAATCAGGTGTGTTAAACGAGGGGAAACCCAAAAATGTGCAGGGCTCCGGCCCCCCAGGACTGGAGTTTGACACCCCTGCTGTAGATGATCTACTGTTCTACTTCTGATCAGGGTATTTACGCTAAATTACACCAGCTGCAGGTATAGGTAAAAATTGTATGTTGTTGCTCTGTTGCTTTAAATAATAAAGCGAAGCGCTGCAGTGATTATCCAGGGAAGGCGGAGCTGTCCATGGGGATCTCGGTGTGCGCGCGGTACAAGGCTCAAGAAGTCTGATTTAGCAGAGGCTGAGTGTGAATAGTGTTGTTTTCTCAATCTTTGTCCGCGATGCTGATGTCACTTTTAATTCCTCAGTGTAAACTCAACACGTTTGATGGTTCACACCTGGAGCTCATTACCCACACAAAAATCTGCACTGGAGCCTGGCTAGAAGCCTTTCATCCTCTATAAATCAAAGGATCATTGTGTTGCCTGAGCAGTTAATTGATTTTGGAACTTGAATTCGCACAAACTTCTGTATTCATGACACGCCTTGCATTTGCTCCTCTCTGTTGGGCATCTTGTGTCTCGTATTTATTCTCTTCCTCTGTTATGCCCTAATTGTTCATTGTCTATTTTCATGGTGTCTCTAACAGTACCAAGCTGTGCAAACCAAAATTTCCACCGGCTTGTGTCTGTTGCAAATACATGCCGGGGTACAAATCCTGCTGTTTGAGAAGTTCAGCAAAATGAAATGAAAAGGAGACAGACTGTGCCTCTCTACATCTCTCTCAACCCCAAATTCTGTCCTCTAGATCTCATCGATAGTCTCCCCCACAGTGTGTGATCTTTGTATCTCCCTGGCTTCCTGCGTGAGATGGATGGGGTATCGGGGAACGTTGTGCTGATTCAGTCCACCTGTTTCTCGTTCTGCTGGCACAGTAAATGTTTGGTTTCTTCTGCGTCTCCTTCCAGCAGTAAACCTGGCCTCGTCCCAGTGCTGAAGCCTACACTCACTGACTCCCACACCTGAGTTACAGATTTATGTCTTTTCTCGCTCTCGATTACCTCGCCTGCATTTTCATTTGCCTTCGCCCTTTGTGATGATCTAGTTTACACCCATTTCACCCGAGATCATGAAACAGGAAGCCGCACCCCTAGAAAATTACCTGATTTCTCTCAGATCCTGAAAACCAGAAGACGTCAAATATACTGGAAAGAAAATGATGGACGTCTAGCTTGCACAGAATGAAACACGTAGATTACAGTCCATATAGCCTATTCAGATATTCTCCAAAATTTTATGGCAGTGAATAACTATTAACTGCAGCCCTCCAATGTTCCCAAATGCTCATGAAATACCCTCCAGCAGAGGATGTTTCCCCTCTTGCCCTGTGTGAGTCTTTCCCAACCAGGTCTCTAGCCGGTCAGAGCTACGGAGCAAAAATCTGATTCACTCAGGATTCCCCTGCAGTCTGTAGCAGCTGCATATTAACATACATTCAAACGATATACTTCCTTATGGTGCTGAATGCGCTGAAAGAGCAGCCAGATATTTCGGTAATTACCGTGTTAATGGTCATTCATCTCCAGGGCGTTTCTGTTGGCCAAGAGGGACACCATGACCATGAAGATCCGCAGAGGAAGGGGCTCAATCTTCAACATCAACCGGAGCGTGGATGAATGTCCAGACTGCTGTGCAGTCACCCAGGAATACCAAGGACCCTGCCCTAATTCCCAACTCATCCCTTTCTGTCACTGAATTATTGAAGCGATGATACAGGACCGCTACTGGACCATGTGGATGACAGTAGAGCATCATCCAGGGAATTTGAGGCACACTTGTTACATATAGAGCTTGTTTTGGTTCAGGTTTTCCTGGCTTTGAGTGAGCAGCAGTTATACCCGCTGAGTTCACTTTCCTAGGCAGCTGGAGTACGTCCGCAGGCGAGACAATCAGATTAGTCGCTGGTAGGCGCTTAAGGGTAACACTCATGCAGGTGCAGACGTGAGGATCGGTTAAACCCACCATTATTACCTTCCTTTCTGCTCAGGGGTCAACAGACAGGAGTCCCGCCCATCATAACGATTCCCTGTGACATCATACTCCGCCAAAGAGATTCTCCCATCTGCCGATGGCCGCGCATCATGAGAGCATGCCTGGAGTTTCACACCTCTCTTAATGAGTGCCGGAAGAAATCTGTCACCTTACTAAGTGTTCCTGCCACCCGAGTCACAGCAGAGGCACGGGCGAGTCAGAGTGTGGGTGGGAAGCACTGAGGGAAGGAAGTGCTGGTTTGGAGTCTAATAGCATGACCACCTGCCTCTTTCCTGCCCTGGTCTTTATGGGGATTCCCCAGCGGGTCTCGCCTACTCCTGTCCTACTCCAGTGTAGGAGCGTATCTCCTCATCTATCCCACCAACTTCTCTTCTGTTCTACAACTGGATGTCCTTCGCCGTCCCACTCTCTCCTCTGCTACTAGCTGCCCCTTCAGACCCTGGAACTGGCTCACCTGCCTAGCAATTGAAGCGAGGAGGGTCGGAGTTTTATGGACGCTGTCCTGGGAATGTGTTTGTTACCTGTAGACTGAAGGCAGCTGAAAGCTGAAACAGCTTGTAACTTGACATGAAGAGACACACTGAATGATCTGCCCAGTATCAGAGACTGCTGGGGTCCATCGGGTCAGCTTGGGCTTTCTGTTATCACGGGGAGCACGACCGTCCAGGGCAATCTGAAGTTTAGTGACAGCTGGGTCTCTTACCAGACGTGCTATCGTGTCGAGTTTTGCATCAAACAAATCAGAGACTAACGTAGAATCCCAGACACGATAAATTCTTGCATAAAATACAACGTAAAGACAGTCCCTGGGTCAAGAATATCCATCTTACGCTCAGGTCGTACTTACGAACAGACTGCTATGAAGCCTATTACAAAAGAAATCTGTGTTATTCAATACAATGGCTCTTGATGACTAATGCACTCACTACTGTGCGATGCTTGTGAAATTATTGCACGTCTTCAACAGTCCTGTTTGAGGTACAGTACAGCTCTGTAAGTAGTTACTTTTATTATTACTGTATAATGATTATTATTGCCATGTGCTGCGTTATTATTTTTCCAACTTACCTAAAAGTTCGATTTAAAGTCAGATTTAGGGAATGGATCTCATTCGTAACCCAAAGGTTGCCTGCATATCATGTGACTTGTTTACTATAGATTTTCTTGTCTCATTGTATTTAGTACCCAGGGGGCATTAAAATATTATTAATTTTCAGTAATTATATTTTTCTATGTGCATTTTAAAACTTTACTCAGGAATCAAAAAAATTGTAGAGGTTTTTTTGCGTGAAACCTAATTTACAATTGATCCCAAGTTCAGCGCACATTAAATGCACATAAATGAACCCTTTGCATTGAAGAAAAAAAACTATGTAAGAGAAAAAGACAGGGAGGAGATTAGCAGGCAGATAAAAAGGAAAGTGTGAGACTGAAAAATGACTCGGAGCATCGATCCATTCACCGCAGATATTCCCTTTGTTCGCTTTGGCTACTCATCGAGTTAATCTGCCAGGCAAAAAAAAAATACAAAATAATAAATTCTAGCTGAAAAACATCCACTGTAAACTTGAGCAAAGCATTTGTTTTGCACAACATCACCGACAGAGATTGATACAAATACCATGCAAAATAAAATTATGCACGTGAGTTATCATCCGCTTCATTTCTGATATTGACCTTGAGATGCTATCCGAGTTATTTGTGTAATTAACTCAGTCACACTGACTTGAATGCTGTCGCCTGTGTAGCGTAGCTTTATAGGGTGATTAGGCTGCTAAGCAGGGCTGCGTATCGCCGGAGTGCGAAAGCCTTTTCGGGGGCTCAGGGATGTAAGGGATGCGGGTCTCCCCAGCTAGCAGACTGCTGCATTGCTCGGTCTCTCACATCCACAGAGGTCGTCAGAAAGGGGTGTGTCATCTGCAAGCGGGTCTTTAAAAATCAGACCTGCAAATTGACGCACTTGAGATATATATATATATTTTTTCCATTTTCAGTCTCAAGTGACTACCTGCTCAGGGATTCCGGGAGGTGGATACGACCGCGGTGCCGCTTTAAACACCCAAGGGCAAAAAAGGTGAGGAAAAACACCGCTAACGATCGGCGCTAAAGTAAAAGCAAGGACGACGAATCCGAGATCTGAAATCCTAACAGCGATCGGGGACCGCGGCGTGCAAAAATGCCTCCTGCACGTTTCATAGCGAATAAGGAGGATTATGTGGGTCAGAAAGCGCCGTGCGAGGCTGAAGGTACCGAGGGGTTGGACTGGACGTAGTATTTAAGCCAGGAAGCACCACTGCAGGGGATGGGAGGGTTATCGGGAGCAGCATTAATAATTGATTGCTGTGTTTTTTTTAGGACGTGGGACGTTTCGGAGGGGTAGCCATCCACGTGCTCCCTCCCCCTTACACTCATTCGCCGTGCAGAAGCTCACAAGGACGCCCTTTATCCCGGAGAAGCCGGGATGCGCAGAGAGAGCCGGCAGACGTCCTCAGCCGCTGCTCGCTGTTGATTGCAATTTGCAAGAGTAAAAACTGCATTTCCTCAAAAAAACAAAAAGCAAAAATAAAAAGCGAAAGTCGCCAGAGCAGGTAATCTTCGGCGGCGGGTCGTTGGAAGGGGGTTCCGTTTGCGAGTCGGGAGCTGTCCGATCGGGGACGGTGCTGAAACTGCTCCTGGACCGGGAAGGAAGTGATTCTCCTTCTTATCTGTAGAAGGGGTTCAGCTGAGGTTAAGTGTTGAAAGGCATGCGGTTTGTTTTTAAAATTGCACCGCATTTATTATAAAGGATATTATAGGTGGGATTTCAAGTAAATAAATCATCCGGGATTCCCCAAATTTCTGTGCTTTTAATTAAATTGGATGACTGGAAGTTTTCGCAATGAAAACTAAGCTCACCGGTTAGTAAGCTGTTTGGTACAAACGGGAACAAAACACCCCCATGTTTGTCCGGGTGCAGACTCAGTGATGTCTCACAGGCAACTTACCAGCAGGTACTGAAAAACCTTGAAATGTCACGTTAATATGCGGAATATCGAGGACGGATTTCTTTAAAACGGCATTTAAGAGACTGATTTTGTGTACGCTTTCCTTGACATTAATTACACAACTGGGATGTTTCCGCCGGAATGACTGCATACAGACTACAATATAGGGGACGTGAATATCTGCAGCGATATCACAGCTGACTTTCGTCTTAAATAAAATCAGAACCTGCCTTCTGTCAGATTTCGTTTACAACATGGAAGTTGTTATAAGCTTATGTCTCATACGGACTGCCTGTATTGAAGACCTATGTATGCATTTTCATACATTAACCGTGCAGGTATAATAGCGAGAATACCAATATCTATCAGCGTTTTCTGTAAAGTTGAACTGTTTTGGAGTATGATTATTCGTGTTATTTTTATATTAATATATCCATTACGATTTTTTTTAGATATAGCAACCAAAGAACACTCGTCTCTGAACGACCTGAATGTAACATCGTGAAGTGAAGGAGGGCAGGAATTAAAAGCCATCGTCATGAATTTCCTTATGAAGCAAGCCCTGGGAGGTAAGTTTTTTTTTAAGGGGCATCTGGTTTAGGTTCGATCGAGAAAATCATGGTGATGTTGCCAGTTCTGGGGGGATAATATACCGGGACATGTTTCTAATACCAGTATGCAGGATCTGACTGGTGCGGATGGTGCAGAAATGGTTCCGCGTACGATAAAGGAAGTGATCGCGTTTCATAACGTGAAAAGGGGTTCAGTTGAGGTAATGTGTTAAAATACCGGAAGGTGACATTTGATTTTCGCATATTCTGCCGTTCACTTTATCATTGTATATAACGGACCGTCAGAGACTGCAAGTCTTTGGGCTAAACTATTCCGCCTAATCTGCTAACCGCAGACAAATACGACTAGTCCGCTTTTCATGCGAATATGAGTTTTTTTATCGTCTTCAGTTTTAGACAGGCCTACCTAGATTTCAGGAAGAAAACATTATGCGTTCGGTTTCACTTTTTAATATGCACACACGACGATATCATTACTGAAGCATGTATGCTTAGCCTATACGATGGGCATCAGTATCACATAAGATTTAAAGTATATGTCTAGAAGTTGTAGTTCATGATCAGTATGACTGATTTTAGCGGAATTATGATATAGCTTATTCTGCGGCATTTATTTTACAGCCGTAACATCATTTAGGATATGCGAATTATCCGGAATACCGCACAAACACCAGCCAGAAGAACTCAGCAGTACCTGCAGCACATACAATAATCTAATAGCTGTAATGAACTAGTATACACCGACACATGTTCTTTTAGATTATTATTAGGTAATTCAAATCTTTAGCTGATAAACCTCATGCTTGCTTTTACCGCAGACCGTTAGAAGTTGTGTTGCATTGCCACTGAAATATAAAGCACAACAAATTCACTGGTGCAAATGGGCAAAGTTCATGGAGTTTGAAAGTCATGATGGAACTCGGGAGTAAGAGAAATGCAGCTGCTCTTGCACGGGAGCGGACTGCGGGACTGTCCACGGTGATGACGGCTGCGGCAGAGCCGTGCATGTTTGTATGCAAGGTCTATTAAGCTGTCTGATGCAGGAGGTGTAGCTGTGATTGTCCTCCAGTGTACAGATACACTGCTTAAGAAAACACCAGGACACAGTGGAACTGGCTGTTCCTATCCCTTGCTGGTCTGCTGTGGGGCACTGGGATGATCTGATAGACATGGCGTGCTGGTTATTCTCTGAGTGCAACGACTTGACGAGTCAAACATGGTTACGTGGTATTTGCAGTGCGGGGATGTCGTCATTTCAGGCAGATGTCCTTGAGGAGACTTTTTTTTTTTGGGGGGGGGACTTTGCATATGAGCAGTTCTCCATGGATTATTGTGAATGGTTAATGACCTATCATCATTAATGCTGTTGTTTTGTGTTATTCCTGCCATAATTACTGAGCTGCATCCCAGTGCGACAAAGGCAGGGAGAACAGAATATGATACGTTTCTGTCTTCTTTTTGAGGTATTTTCAGACCTAAATCATATCCACCGTACCCCCGACTTCAGACAGTTACGTTTCCTGAATCGGAAACATTTCTGTATTTCATCCTGCCCCCCTTTTTTGAACCAACCCCATAAATAACCATGCAGAAAAAAAAATCTGGTACAAAAAGATCTTCCTCGCATATTTTATCAAAGATAAATGACTCAGGAAAACAAACAATGTAAATTTGGCACAAAAAATAAAACCCTGCACAGTTGAGTTCACTCAGTGTGCAAGGTCATGTTACAGTCGTATAGAAACGTTGGGGGTAAATGCATTCCCCCTCTTCAGTAACTGTTGCTTTTAGTCCAGTAGGGTAATGATCTGTTGAAGCGAAATGTGGAAGGCAGGGTGATTTGCCCAGTGGAAAATATCCAGTTGTGTGTGAACACTGGGGGAGAACACTGGGAGAGAGTTTGATTATGGTTATGGAAATGTCCTATGGAGACTGCAGTGTCTTTGCTTTCATAGACTGCTTTCACTGCAGTTTCCCTACTCTGTTGCAATCTCTTTCTGATTTGGCAGCTGCCAGTAGCACACGGCCAATCGGCATGACATAGAGCGGTCATGTGACCCTGTCCCTTTGTTCAGTTCTTAGAAGCAGGCATGAACATGGTGCACTGTGATTATTCTGATGCTACTTCAAAAACAGAGACGTATTTCACTGCTGAATGACTGGAAATTAAACTTCAAACAATAAATGTGGTTAAAAAAATGTACTTTTGGAAAATATTCTTATAGGAATATGTAATGTATAGCCCAATCTTAGTAATATACCTTTTTATCCTTAAAGGATGCATATTATCCAGTAAAATGCACAAGATGTAAATTATAACTGCTGGTTAAAGTAAGAAAACAGAAATTCATGTTTTGACAAACAAGAATAAGGCATTTTCTAAACTGTCCCTTGGGTTACCTTGGGAACAATTGCTCATATCTCTGGATCAGGGCTCAAAAAGAAGAGATACGTTTTAAAGAATGTTGCAACACAACACAAATGTTGATAAAAAGTGAAGGAGTACTATTGAGAGTGGGTGAGTGCACGAGGAACCAAAGGTGTACATTGATCAGGAAGCTGAGAAGCACCATTCAGAGACATGGAGCTCGGTTCATTCTGAGGAACACACAGACAGGAACCTGGACGTCCCACCTGCGTATCCTTTGGGAAGAAACTGTGAACCTACTATAGACTGGTGAAGGGCCTATGGTGATCCCGTTAGGCTTCCACACTGGAATCCCGACTCCAGCCTGACAGCTTCAGCAATGTTTTAACCGTCACGGCAAAGCAGCTTCCCCTGAAGCTGAGGGGATGATATTCCAGATTCCAGGAGATGTTCAGCAGGTTTGTCTCACTGTCAACTGAATTCCCAGAATGCACTGCACACTGCAGATAGTGAGTGTGCATCCTGATACTGTATTTAGAATGAAGCTGACCGGCTTCCCTTCACTCCAGAGAAAACGGCCCCAGATGGAGGCCGGTTATAGTCTTGTGCTAATGTTCCTCACTCGTTCTAATGGCACAATCTGCATGTGACCTTTGACCTTTTATCCAACAACGTCGTAATGGAACCCTTTCTGGCGCATCTCCCACAGATGGGAGCACTCTGCCGAATGAAAAAATGACATTAAAACACTCGAAGAGCTACGCAGATAGATCAGATTCAATAAGACGCCAGTACTGTATGCCTGTATGACTGATAAGGAAAGGGAGCCAAATTACAATAGAACACAGAGGACGTCACATATTCAACAAAGACATCGCTGTGTTGCATTGTTAGCCTTCTGATGCTCTGGGTCATTTGATGAATTTGAATTACTTTCATGCTTTCGCCTGACTCTCCCTTTAACCAAGTTACTGGAAAAGGGAGACTTTGCGCAGGAGTGAAAGGCACACGGGCAAATAGCGACTGAAATTATAGCTCTGGAGCTGAGCATAGCAGCGCGTAAATGCTCATCCACATCCTCCTGCGAGTGTCAGGTTATTGGCAGAATTGAAGTAAAAGCTTTGAAATGCAGACTAAGGACAAAGGAGCAATTTAGCAAATTTCCTTATGAAAGCATTACATGAGAGTGAGCCATGGATTTTTCAAAGCACTGTCTAGTCGACTCTGGTGAATGACATCACTTCCTGCCATAAGCAAGAACAAGAATGTGCATCAATGAGAAGCTTTATATCAGATACTGATATACTGTATTCAGTGCTGCCTTTCAGAATGGCCTTATACAGCTTTCATTTTCATGTTTTTATTCAGAAAATATAAATTTTAAAGACATATTTCATGTACAGCATATACTTCCATGCAGAAATTGCCAGTGGATCACATCTTTCAGTTGGAACTCCACAAAACCTTTATGTGTCACGTCTCTGTGGTATTCGATAGTAAACATCACGTTTCTATGCAAATTTTTCTTATTAATGTCACTTTTGTGGTGAAATTCCTCAGTAAACACCACATCTCTGTGTGAATTCCTCGGTAAACGTCCCGTTCCGTTTGTGCGATTTGCCCCAGAAGACGTCACACTGAGATCACACTTGGTAATCTTCCAAGGAATAATTATTCTCTGTCTTTTTTTCGCAGTTTCATTTTTCTACGCTAATGTTCAGTGGATCTGCAAGATGCACGTGGCTCGCTGTGTTCTGACCCAGAAGCTTGGTGTCTAGAGACCGTAGCCGGTCAGCCTTGTAGATCGGTCAGGTCTAACGGCTGTGTTCACCCAGAAAAGTCTGTGATGCAGGCAGCTCGCTAAAAATACGCAAAATGCCAAAGGCAAACTGAACAGAGCAAACAGGGAGAAAATGAACATGGGAGAGGAAAACAAGAGTCAGAAATAAGAATGCTAACACTACAGAATGGAGATATATCTATGACTCATGCCTTTGGCTTTTCACCACTCTTCCTTGGGGCACTTTTGGCACTTTGGAGTTGCACTCCAGCTACAGTATGGCGCCGTATGTGGCTACCTTTATTATTACTATATAATTATTATTGCTATTATGTACCGTATCATTATTTTTCCAGCTTGCATACAAATTCGACAGACTTAGGATCTCATTCATAACTTTGCTTTGAAAATCACTGTATAGTTATAATCAGAGGCTGGACATGTGACTGTTCAAGGGCCCCGTGGACATGTGACTGTTCAAGGGCCCCGTGGACATGTGACTGTTCAAGGGCCCCGTGGACATGTGACTGNACATGTGACTGTTCAAGGGCCCCGTGGACATGTGACTGTTCAAGGGCCCCGTGGACATGTGACTGTTCAAGGGCCCCGTGGACATGTGACTGTTCTGCCAAACTATGAGCCACATATTACCACCCTTTAGGTCTTGTCCTGCAGAGCCTAATTCCAACCCCCTCCCCAACCATCCTGGCTCCTATCGGACCCCACAACGGCAAGCCCAGATTATTGACTTTGGGAAAGGATCGGATCAATGTTTCCGACAGCTATAAAGCATCAGGAAACCCTATAAAAATTGATCCATTCACCCAATGCACAAGCGACCTGTAGAGT